TAGTATAATTAGTAAGGCTAAATATAGATATTATATTCTTTTAGTTATATAAAATTAATAGATTAGTTATAATCTTAGACTATAAGAGTAAAGATATAAAGGCAGGGTAATAATAAGCTTAAACTAAAAGTTTAAAGAAATTAAGTTAACTTTTATATAAGTTAGTTAGTAAACGCTAAATTAACCTAAAGTTAATAATAATTAGATCTACTAATTAAATATATATATTAGGGTATATAACTAATTAACCTTATATTTAAAAACTGTAGATAAGTAATATTAGTAAAAATGCAGTAGTTTATATTAGGGATTCTTTTCTTTAAGATTTAATATTAATAAGGAATTAGTATCTTTTTGATACCTTATTTAATATAGCTTAAAAAGGCTTAAATAGAAAATACTATAAAGTTATATATATTAATTAAAAAGGACTAGCCTATATATTTATAGCTTAATTCTTTAGGTAATCTTAAAGGAATTAATTAATTAAAAAGCTAGCTATTTTTTCTTTTCTTTAAACTTAAGGTTTTTAATTAATAATATAATTAATTATCTTTAGTATAAACTACTACCCCCAGTTTAAACCACTGCTTCTTCATTAATATCACTTTAACTGCAGTTCTCAGACGTAAGGTCGATTAGTTACATGCCTAGGCACATACATTCAATTGGTAGAGGTCAATTTGACTTTCGCCGACTAACTTATATAAAGTAAAGTCAACCTAATTCCTTTAAACCTTCAGTCTAACCCGGCTATTACCCTGCGTTTATCCTAGAACTCTATTTGCAGATACGTATCTCAGCTTTGCTTTTATAGTCTTAAACTATAACCGGCCTGTTGACCCTTATATAAGCAGGAGGAAGCTAAGTATATATTTAGCTTTAATAATTATATTCTATAGCTACTCTTTATAGCCGGCTAATAGGCCTAAAAAGGCAGCTAGAAAGGTAGGCTAATTAGTTATTAAGGTCTTGCCTTACCTTATAGCTTCTTTTAGGTGTTTTAGTTATAATAGCTCTTTAACTAGCTAATTTAAGGATATTATATAAAATAGGATATCTAGATCTATATAATTAATTATATTAATTAAAATATAATTAAAAATAGCTATTTTAATTAGGCTAAATTAGTTTTTTAATAAAAAGTTCTTTTTAATAGCTATAGCTATTATATAAAGCTTATAGTATTTATAGCCTATAGTTTCTATTAGTATTAATTTAATTATATTAATAAGATTATAATTAGTTAT